ATGAACTGCCAACACCCGGCGAATACCGGTAAACTGGCCGACGGCGCCGCCGCATTCGGAAAGAGTTTCACCCTCTGACACGTCTCACACGTACGCACATCTGTGCTCGTCCAATTGTATAGCTTGGTCCACCAGTAGTGGAAACTAACAGAGCTGCATGTCTTTTCACAACCGAGATGACCACTGAGTGGGGTGTCGTGGGCCTCATAGGGAATACGGTATTTCGAATCCTCATCGTGAGAAACCGCAATTCGTGGCGCATCTGTAAATTCGGTGCTATAATACAGCAACTTGTTACTCAAAGAATATCGATGTAAGCGTTTGCGCAAACGCGCCGAGAATATCTTGTATAATTTTTTTAACTCCTTGCTCCCGAGCGCCTGTAGCAGCGCTACACACATACGATCACCCGCGTATGCGTCGCGGATCCAATCCGTCACTGACGACGTCACCATCGTAACATGAGCAAGCTCATAATCTGGTCTACATGACAACGTATCAGCCAATGCATTCTGCTTCCGTGGCTTATACTTCATCTCGAGGTTATATTCTGGAAGGAATGAGAAGCATCTGGCCATCCTCTGTGAGAGGTGAGGCGACTGAGTCGCATTGCGTAGTGCCGCATGATCTGTGTACATCACAAACGGCTTTGGGACAAGCAGTTGCACTCTGAACTTGACAAGTGCATACTTCTTCGCAAGTACTTCCTTGTCGTGAACTAGGCAGTTCCCCTCCGCAGCCTTAAGCTGGCGAGATTTGAACGCGACCACCCGATCTCGCCCCTCGGCGTATGCTTGCAGCAGTACTCAGCCGATGGCAAAGTTCGAAGCGTCACATACGACAATAAAAGGACGATCGAGGTCTGGCAACGCTAGTTTTGATGCATATAGAAGGCTGCCTTTGACCCTGTCAAAAGCCTCCCTATACTAGGTGTCCCAACACCATATCTTATTCTTCTTAAGGAGATTAGACAATGTCCGTGCCATTTCCTATGCGCTATACTTGTGGAAGTAGTTGGCTAGGCCAAAGCACTTGCGCAAGTCCTTTTGGTTCTTTGAAACTGGCAAGTCCACAATGGCCTTGACCTTTGCGGGATCCGCTTGAAGGTCACGCTTTTAATGAAGCACCCTAAAAAGGGGATTTCTTCCGCGCCGGAGATGCACTTGACGGCATTAGCATACAGCTTTTCGTGTGCATGCACTCGAGCGCAGCTCCTAATCGGACGATGTAGCTTTCCTCATTTGTCCCCCCGTGTCCCGCACGACTGTGGACGAAGATGTCGTCGAAATGTGTTTGTGCATTCGCCCGGTGAGACCTGAACAATTTCGTCACACGACGATTAAATATTGCTGGTGCATTTGGCAGCCCATGGGGCATCACCAGCCACTCCCAGAGCATCCCGCTCGGAGTACTCACTGCTGTTAGCGGAATACACTCACTCTCATGAGCAATTGGTAACACCCCTCGACCAGGTCGAGTGCACTGTACTTTGTACAGCCAACCAATTTGTTCTGGAGAACATATTCGCCGTCTATCTCCCCCGTCATACGGTGTATAGCTGTGCACTATCGTCTACAGTCGACACACCCTGGTCCAGAATCGACGCCCTGGGCCTTGCAGATATCATACGGCATCGCCGTCTCGTCTCTATAGAGTTTTACGTCTCATCGGGGTTCCGTGGCCCACTCCCTGCGCCATCAGAACAATAGTGTAATAAATAACATCCGGTCAAGAGCTGCTTTTTTTTCGCAGTCTTCGTCCAGTGGATCGCGTACCACCCCACGCGCATCAGAAGGGCTTTGCCCAGGATGCCTTGGACCTCGTCCGACCATGCCACTCTTGGTATACAGCGTCTGCTTCGTAACGCATGCAGTGCTCAGTGGATTACGTGCCACTCCATGTGCATCACTGGGGCCTCGCTCTCGATGACTCGGCTCTTGGCAAGCCATGCCACTCTTGGCATGCAGCAACTGCTTTGATACTTGAGCAGTGCTCAGTGGGTTGCCTGCCACTCCCCTTTTAGCCCGTGAGCCATGCTCGGGACTCTTGTCCGAAACGCTTTCGGTTTTTGACAGCTCGGATACTCCGTTATTCAACACATTGAGCGTCCTGGTCTAGTGCTGTGCCAATAGCACTTCTGCTTCCTAGCAGAGGTGGGTTCATGACTCACCAAAGCTCCACCAGAGGACGTGTGCGTTTCGCCCAAGGACTTCGACCTCCAATTGATCCATGGCTCATGGTCTTCCAATCATGCTTTACGTAGGATACGGTCATACCTTGTATCTAGGCTTAAGACAAAGCAGCGTTCCACACTATCGACATTGAGGCTCACAGGGAACGTCGGCACAGTGACACAAGTCTCCGTCGCTAAGCGAACATTGGCGGTGTCACTTCACTGCACTTTCAGCGCCTCAGTATACAGCTGACTTCCTTCAATCATGGAGCACTAAGCATAATCACCCGACTCCCCGGTATCGATCAGGATTTTTCATGGCTCCTTTAAGCCCTTCACGATCGATTTTGTGACCAGCAAGCCCGGTTGCATACACGTTTCGTGTTCAAGAGCACAGAGCTCTTCGGGGATAGGCCTTGCTGCCCTCTACCTCGTTGAGGCTCAACAAGACTCAATTCTCCCCCAGTAGGGCGCTCCGCACCTACTGGATTCTGTCGTTTCCCTGCGACAAACCAGACTGGCACGTCGGCTCGACGAACCTTTATCCGCCTTGCGCAGGGGACAACCAGTCCGAAGGTGACGGGTGTATACAAAACACTGTCTGGTGTTTAATCACTGCTTGGAGTTCTCCCGCCTCTTTCTCATCAAAGCTGAGATCCATTGACTCAGGCTCGCTTGATGAGCTCTGAGGGTTTGCATTCCAACCAAGTCGTGTCGACTTATAGTTGAGTTCGGCATTCAGTACCAAATTTTCCGCTGCTGTTGATCATATCCATCACCTAGCTTTCGGCCACGGAAGACAGGACCTATCCCGGAGCCAGTCATAATAGATTTGGGATGCCATTTTCATGCACCGCATGTGCCTGGTGCTGTTAATGAAGCATCTGCAAGGATGGAGTTCTGTTCCTACACATGTCGTACAATGTGATAACTTATTCCACAAAAGCGATTTTGCATAGCAGCGCCACGTATGGATCTCGGCTGCCGACAGTTTTAATAAATCAAACCGCCGTGTACTCTAAAGAAGCCCGCAACCAGACAGTTGACGTTTGTTGTTTTAATTACCTGATCGTTCGCTTAACAGGAATAGGAAGTGACAAGGCCACTTTGAAGTGTACGCCACGTACCAGAAGAAGGCGTGGGTTGACGGTTTGCTGCTCGAGCTTTAGATCGAGTTGAAGTTCTATATGGTATTTGCGAGCTAAGGAAAGTTTTAAGTGCGGATTTGATGAGAACTCATACCACGAATAGTGCAAGCCAAGTGCTATACGCGAGACATCAATAATTTCTGGTGGAATCACTTTGTATCTTTAGACTGACGATATCGGCATGTATTGATATTTCAAGGACATCTTGTACACTGAAATCAATACGCGGAGGCAGAGTGACCAGATGATATTCTCCAATTATGGCAATCCCACGCCACAGCCAGTGAAGTGGGTGTTCTCGGGTCCGCAAGGTATGGGCGTCGACCGACGGAGACGTTGTCATTACTTTCGCCATTGATGCTGGTCTTGCAGACACTTACCCAGCCTAGTTTGTTGCTCAATACCACAAGGTTTCATTAGTTAAAAAGAAACCTAGTTTGTGTGTAGATGATATGTTACGTAAAGGAAAAATTGCGATGCACGTGGGCTGAGTTCACGCGCTAAAATTCTTAATTCTAATTGTATTTAACTTGACATGTACGTTGTTTGGAGAACGTTACAAGATGGACAGCGGCAGTATGGATGCAGATGTTTTCAACTTGACGTACTGGATGAGGCTCTTGATGAAATTGGGGTTGAGATTATGAATAAGAAGCAGTCACTTTAAGCTTAAAAGGAACTGCCTCACTTGAGCACAGTTTTGATTCATCCAAACCCGGGATGTCCGTGTCGAAGCTATTTTCGCTAGAATTGTCAAATATTTTTCCTATTTATTTTGAATCTGCGACGCGTGTCGAAGACCAAATTTGGTATTTTCACATTATCACCAAAATAATCTGTTTCTTGAAAAACGGATTAATTTGACTTGAGTAAGATACAGTAGTCATTTCCCTCATCCGAAAGTGTTCTCTCTCATTGTGGCTTCCATGTGAATTGCTCGAGTTCTAATATCTTTTGCTACAGCCACACTATTACAGATGATTTTGTAGTTAGAACCATAGGCTCCGCATTGAAGGCTTTTTACCGGGTGATAAATCCGTCTTCTCAGTAACTTCGCGTTCGGCCACGCTAAGAAGCTTTCCTACCCCTCTTCACTTCTGCTGAACGGCGCAAGGATTCGCAGACATGTCTCCACTCTATAAATGTGGAAATGATAGACGGGGACTGCAATGCGCTATTTCCGCAACATTCGAATAAGTCCGCACTAGACAGCAACTCTAAGGTGCGCACTTAGGAGACCATAGCACCCAGCATTAAAATATAAAATTTACAAGCTCATTGAAGGTTGCCGAGGGCTATGTACTTAGCTGTGGCCCTCAATGGTGATAGTCCAAAGCACGACAGATCGCGGAAACGATGGCTAATTACGAAGTGGGGCTGGTAACTGAATTTTAAACAAGAAGAGGACTGTACTTCACCCATCTTCGCGCCCGAAGGTGGTGATATAGATAAGAACCTCTCAGACTCAATAAAAATTGATAAAATTCGAGGAGATTATTAAAGAACATGACCCAGGTTGGTGTATAACATGGACCGGCTACGTTTTCGTTAGCAATCTTGCTCTATTGTTTTGTTGTCTTCTAAAGGTTTGACAACTGTTAAATGTAAGTCGAGTCCAATATAGTTCGTATAGCAATGAATTGCTCGCCTGACGGCTCTCTACGTGAGGCCCCTGATGTTGATAATTTGAATGCCGGGCAGAAAAACCTCTTCCTCCAGATGAGGAAAAGATGGAAAATTTCTGCCTTGATCCAAATGAAGCCATATCATATCGCGCTTGCGATCACCAAGTTAGGACTTCACGCGAGAGAATGATCGGGCAAGCCCACGCGCCAGATAGCACATTTGGTCGACAATCGCTATTGCCATATTTTAATGAGAACAAGGGATGGATCGCCGTTGCTGTGTATAAACAATGGGTATAAAAAGTTTCTTCTTACTATTAGTTTACTGCCGAACGGGCCGGAAGGTGGTTTTAATTCTTGATGATGCACCTGGACCTTGTCAACCTCTTGAAAAAGACGGAAGATAGGTTACAATTTTCCCTTTAAATTAATGGACTGGCTTTTTGAATTCTCTCCCGCTGCGCCTCGCCTTAATTTGGCAGCATCTGCTTCTGACGGATTTTAAGATCAATAGGAATAATGTATCTCATTAGCATTAAGTTGTAGCCCTTCGTCAGTGCAGCGATAATCCCGTATCCATTGGCTGTTTCCATTGGCGGAGAAAATGAAGAACCGCTTTGCAAAAGCAGATAAAGTTCCTTAATTTTTTGCAAGAGGATACACAATTGATGAAGGAGGAAATGAGGACATATGTTCTCAGTGATTACAAAATGCACCATTGCACATTTATTAATCGATTTGAAATCTCGTCTCTCAGAACAATATCGTGATTTTCTGGGTTTGGATGAAATCGATCGTGAAATGTCAGGAAACGGTTACCGAATATATTGAAAAGTAGTTTGAGAACGAGGAGGATGAAGTTGAACCAGGACACGATGAAGTGTTTTCGGAGGGCTCAGTCGATATTGACGAAGAACTTGTAAGAATTTCAATCCAGTCCACGCTATTCTCTTGCAAGTTCTTGACCTCAATTCAAAAGTTCGCATTCTGCTAAACTCACAATTGTTTGGTTTCAAGGCAAGATTGTCGGAATGCTCAATAACATAATATCGTCAAAGGATATCCTACAGCAAGCAGTTTCAATGATTTCAAGCGAGAGAATCGCCAAAAGTCGGATTAGTTTAATATCAATAAAAGTTTTATGTTGATTCATTTTTTTATTTCAAATTCGCAATGCGGACTCAAAAACATAGCAGACTCTTAATGTACGTATTTGTAAATAAGACTCGGGAATCAGTTTTGCGCACATACAGTACTGTAGTACTATCCTTGGATAGTACATGAGATGCAGTACTACGATATTCACCTTGAAGCAGCTTCAACTAAGCTCATCACTACTGCAGTTGAGTCCCAGGCTTTTTTCACCAAATGACAACCTCTCTAGCGAAAGATCGGTGCGGATCCTGCGCGCATTGTACGTAAGTTTTCGAGAGATCTTCCAAATTTTGATTGATCCACGGATGCAAATTTATCGTCATCGCCGCAACCTTTATGCGACTCTCATAGTCCGTATCTAGCAACACGGGCTGTATGATTTAAGTTTCCTCTGTGCAGATGCACGGCAAACAATTTGCATAATAAGCCCTCCCCCTAGTGCCTACGGCAGAAGCTCATTGGACTAGAACGATTATCTCTAAGGGATGTTTGCTAGAATCGCAAGGCAGAAAACGAAAGTGATCTGTGTTCCGTACCTGTAAGCTAGGTGATGGGTATTGTGACGGGGCACACGGCACCTTGCACAGAGGAAGCTTGACTTCCAAGAGTATAC